ATGACAGTTATTGTATGAGGTTAAAACTATATTGATTAAATTACAAGATGTAAAGTTTAAGGATTAAATGACAACGAAATTAAAATTTTAAAGATTGAGTTATAATGAGTCAAAGTTTAAAAATTAAATTATAATTGAGTCAACACTATAAGAATCAAATGATTAATTTTTTCTTTTTACTTTCATTCTTTACTTAGTTGTTTAATATTTTTCTAAGTTTTATTTTACATCCCTTGTATTTATTCATTTTTAATTTAGTCTCTTACGGCTTTGATAAAAGTAGAGGATGGCCACCTCTTACTGCCTTATTTGGTATTCTTCTAAGGCCTTGTGAGTTTTTTTCTTTTTAATTGGCTAAAAACATAATTTATCTCTAAACTTTTTTAAGAGTGATGGACATCTTGTAACAAATGATAGGAAAATATTCTTCCTAAACAATTTTTTAAGAGATAATATTGCCCTTCTATTAAATATCTATTAATTTCATTGTTAGTTGACCTAAACATTTACATAAAATGATGTAGAAAATTACAAAAAATTAAAAGGCCCAAAAAATTATACAAAAGAACCTTATATGAAAATTAATACTGATTAATTATCTTAAATTATAAATAAGACTAATGGTACGTGCCCTAATGGGCACATTTGTTATTGACTTTCTTATAACGATGGTCAAAAGTCATTGTTCAATTTTTCATGACATAATTTATAATTTTCTTGATATAATTGAGGAGAAGGTGAGGTTGAGAATATTCATTTTGAATGAGGTTGAAAGCTTCAATAAAATCAAAATTGGCATTGACTTTGAAAACTATAGTTACACGTTTTGACTAAAATCAAGATGAATATAAACATATTGGCAGTTTTTTTAGAATAAATTTGACTAAGGTCAGGTCTAGTGAAAGATGTTAGTTTTTTATAATGTGATAAATTAAAGTTTGTATCCCTACAAGAAGAGATACTAACATTTAATATCTAACCGTACTTTGAATAAAATTATCTTTAATAAAAAAAATCTGTTCGCAATAAAAAAAACTTTTAATAACAAATATAAATCTAGCCATGAATTTCCATCACAATATTTTGGTAATCATAGTTGCCTAAGAATTCATATTATGAAAATAAAACGTCAACCAAATGCACATATGCACGTAATTGAATTTTTCGTTATTATTAGGAGAACAAGCCGAACGGGCCCTTAATGCACATTAAACTTTTCTATGGATCATATATATATATATATATATATATATATTTTAATATATTGATCTACATGGAAAATATGTGTGTGTAAAAAGAAAACAAGAAAAAGTAGAAATGACAGTCAAATTTGCAGTTTTAATTAGAAACCTTGAATGTGATTCTATCTGTTTTCTTTTGTTGAGAATATTTTCAAGTGAGAGAATATTTCGGCCATGGCAAAAAATTGTGAAGAATATCGCAGTGTCCCAAACTGCTGAAGAGTGAAGAAACTTATTACTTATTACTTCTATGTCTTATTACGTGGTAATTGAATTCATCCTTCTTTCTAATTTTTACTTAAAAACATTAATCATTTGATTCTTATAATTTTAATTTAATTATAATTTAATTTTAAATTTTAACTCATTATAATTTAATCATTATAATTTAAGTTTGGTTGCATTGTAGTCCGCGGACTTTGATTATTACAATTCAGTTCCTGTAATTTTAACTATTTAAAATATTAGTCCCTATATTTTAAAAAATAAAATTATAAAGATTAAAACTATTTAAAAATTTTAATCTTTGTAAAGATTAAAAGGTTTTATAAATAAATAAATAGAAATCAATATTTGGAGTTCTTTTTAATATCCAACCATATCAATTACATATATACTATAATGTGTATTTAAATTATTATATACTTCCATTTTATGCAAATGTGGACTAATTTTTTTTTTTTGACCGGATCAAATGTGGAATAATGGAAAGGCAAACTCTGTATTAATGGATGGTTTAAATATGATATGTTTAGAGGGGGATCGGATTAAAGTGAGTAACAATGGCATATATTTTAATTATTGATTGAGTGATATATTATTCTTTCCATATTCAAACAATATTGATTGTATTAACAAATGTAAGGGTTTATATATATATATATATGGTCAGGGTTAAATTTGTAGGAAAATAAACCCTGAACAGTACCTATGTGAATAGTAACGGTATTAAAAAGTTAATGGTTAGGGTTTATTTTGCTATGAATTTAAAAATTTAAGATTTATTTTATATATTTTAAGAGTTCAAGATTCAGGATAATTTTTGAGTAAGAGTTTAGGGTCTTATTTGCTTATTAACCCATCTTTATATTAACAGTATATATTTTTTAATTAAAAAAATTAGTAAAATGTACTTAAATGTTTTATAAAAAATAAAAAAATTATAATAAACAAAAATAGATTAACATGGAAAAAAATTCAAGATTACCAAACTAAATAATTATGCAAATAATTTTGTTCTTTTATTATAATTAAATAGAAAATATAAAATGATATAGAATGATAATAACAAATATTTTTCATTTTATTATGTAAATATACTTATTTACATATAGAAATAAAAATATTTTAATTATAACACAGATAATAAAAAATAACAATCACAAATATTTATAGATAAATGTTTTTTTAACAACTCAACAATTATATTTGTAAAATATTGCATTCAGTTTTAAATCACAAGTATATAAATTAATTTATAATTTTTGGAGAAATTGGAGAGATTAAAAGTTAACTTATAAATTCTGTGTGAAAATTCATAAATATTAATATTAATAATATTTAAATGTTGCTAGCAATGATGGTCCAACAATTACCTAATAGTCGATCAAAGTGGATGGTTAAAATGATATTTTGGTCTTTTACCTAAGAAAAAATAACATTGTCCCTTGGTATTTATTACTCCCTTTGTTCCAAATAATAAAATACTTTTAAAAAAATTTAACATTTTAAAATATAAGACACTTTGAAAAAAATTAAGGTTTAATTAAACAGGCTTATTTTAATATTATCCTTTCTCTCTCTATAATTAATCTACATTCCTTCTCTTTTTAATATATTAAATGAAGGGTATTTGTGAAAGTTTGTATTTTTGTTTGGAAAGATAAAGTTATTAAGTGTATTTAATGATGTTTATCGATATGTGAGATTTTGTCTAGAAGTATCTTATAATTTAACATAGAGGAAATATAATTTAAGAAACTTAATCGGTATTAATTTTCTTATAGAATATTTCTTTATAATTTTATTTGTTATTTTTATAATTTTAAGGCTTTTTTCATAATTTTTTTGTTAATTAACAGTCAAAGTTAAGCTTTATTAATTATAGGAACAATATAGTACTGTTTAAAATATTAAATAAGAATTTTGTATAAAAAAAAAGTTCAGGATCCAATCGCCTGCTAGAACAGATTTGTCTCACTTAAAGATAAGCTGCTCAACACTGATAGCAAACCACCCGATGAGGAAGGGGATATCAAGCTGAACAAAGACGATGCGACCATTGGTATGACAGAAGGCATTCCAATTATCACTTTCTCTACATAGGTGCTCGAGGTCCTGAATAAAAGAATAGGATACGCAGTAGTAATTAAGCTTCTTAGACGAAGGATGGGATATCATCGACTATGGGTGCAACTCCAGAATATTTAGAAGCCGTTAGGACAATTTCAGCTAAATGATATTGATGAATGCTTTATTGTTAAGTTTAATGAGGAAGAATATTTTTAGAACGTGCTAACCAAGGGAGTATGGTTTATTTATGGTCATTATCTAACTGTTCAGCCATGGGCGCTGTCTTTCAAGCCTGAAGAGCATGCGATTAATCATGTAGTAGGGTAGGTTGGTCTCCTAGGATTAGCCACAAGATATTATCATAAGAGCATCATTCGCTCTATTGGTAGTATCTTTGGGAATGTTTTGAAAGTGGATTATAATACAGACATTGGAGAACGTAGGAAATTTGCAAGATTAGTAGTTGGTATTAAACTTACTAAGCCTCTTATCTCCAAAATTATGGTTGATGGAGAGATTATTTACATTGAATATGAAAATCTTCCTTTAATATGTTTCCATTGTGGTCATTATGATCACTATGAATAGACCTGCCTAGAAAAAATGAAGGTTACCACTGGTGCTTCAGGCAATCAATCACAGCAGCTACTAGAAGGTGCACCACAACCTCCTCCTGATGCATGTAAACAGGCAAAATATGGGTCATGGATGCAAATGGCTCCAAGATTCAGACATAGGTTTGACAGAGGTGGAAGGAAGGAAGACATCCTTGCACAATGAGGAATCACAATGAGCACTAGGTATGATATCCTCAATATGGCTGATGCATTAGAGGAGCAGAGGCACGAGGTGTACAATGTTGTTAGGACTTATAATGGTGGAAATACCAGTACCTTAAAAGGTACGCCTAAAGAGACAAATCACCAAAAAAAGGCAGACATGGACTGCAAACATAAAGAGATTTCATCCGAGGCACCAAGCAAAGATCGTGTTTTTAATGCACCATGTTACCAAGCCATGTTGGCACCCATAACTCTAACTATAGAAAATCATCATGCTGTCATTATCCAGGATAGCAGGGTACCAAACAAGAAGCAAGGATCTTTGGGCTATTCTTTTACCTCCTCAGTCCAACCACATGCCACCATTATCGAGCCACAACAACCAAAACCATCAGATCCTGAAGTTGAAAGATGTGGAATTAGGCTGTCTTCAGGGCTTAAAGTCCAAAACATCAAAGACAAGCCTAAAGATATTGCGCTATGTCCTTCTGTGCGTATGATGAAGGAGATGGCAAGGAATCTTTAGGATGCTAACAATGAAGTAGGATGCGATGACGCCATTACGATATTAATTGAGGGAGTCAATTTTAGCTCAACCACTAAGAAATAATCTTGTCCATTTAAAATTATGTCCATATTTATTTGGAACTGTCAAGGAGCCTCTAATAAAAGGTTTCCTTCGATTATGAAATCCTCTATATCTAACTACAAACTTGAAATATTTGTCATTGTAGAACCACATATTTCAGGCATTAAGGTTGATGAAGTTATCAAGAGTATTAGTTTCCAATACTCTCATAGAGTTGAAGCAATTGGCTTCTCTAGTGGCATCTGGGTCTTCTGGTCCAATAAAGTAAATGTGAAGGTTATTGTTAATTACATACAATTTGTGCACATGAAGGTTTGTTTCCTCTCTAAGGCTAGAAGTTTTTTCTTCTCATCCATTTATGGAAGTCCGCAGGCTCATTTTCGCAAGTTACTCTGGAGTGATCTCACAGGTGTGGCACCAACTAACACTCAACTATGGCTTTTAGTGGGTGATTTCAATGCTATAATTCACTCAGATAAAAGGAAAGGGGGTCCTGGAAGGTCGAATATGGGTTGTCACTTATTTGGTCCTTTTGCTAATCAATATGGGCTTCTTGACTTGGGCTTTAATAGACCCAAATACGCTTGGCGTAGAGGCACCTTACTAGTTCGTTTAGATAGGGCCCTCAGTAATTCTGCATGGCTTCATTCCCTCTATTCTTATGGGGTTGATCATTTGCCTAAAATCTTATCAGATCATAGACCCCTGCTCATTCATCTTTGCCCATAAGTAATACTTACCACATCTGAAAGGCCTTTTTGTTTCCTTGCTTCTTGGTTCTCACACCAAGATTTCAAAAACATGGTAAAGCAAAGTTGGGCTTCTAGAGGCCTAATTATGGAGAATTTCCAGAATTTCACCAAGGCAGCCTAAAGCTAGAACAGCCAAATTTTGAAAAATATTGGCCACAAAAAATGAAAGCTCCTAGAAAGGATTTTGGATGTTTAAAAAAATCTCAAACTCTCATTATCTTCTGACTTCTTGCTTGATTTAGACCAACACTTAAGAGATGAATATGAAAATGTTTGTCTTCAAGATAAGCTCTTTTGGATTCAAAAATCCTCAACAGATTAATTGCATCTTGGAGATCAGAATACCACTTTCTTGTTGGATAGGGAGGTGTAGTGAAAGATTAAAATTTTAAAGTCCCTATCCTGATATGGACCTAATGAACTCGTTTAAGTTAAGGTAGATAGAAGAGTTATCTTTTTAATTCTTTGAAGTTGGCGCACATTTGGATCTCAGGAGTTGACAACGTAGATTTGCTCCATCTACTGGTATCCACACGAACAGCTCTCTAACTCAAATAGCATGCTAGCGCTCTTAGCGTCTGGTCTTCTTTGAATGTTAATTTTTCTTTTTATAGGGCGTTTCGTGGCTCTTAAAGTGTTTTTGCCGTCAGAACTTTTCTAACTTTCTCTCTGCTTTCATAAGAACATCCCTATCTATATATAGTATATAGATAAGGGTTTGTGTCTTTTACTTAAAAGCTCACGAAATTTTAATTAAATTTATCTCATAAATTTAATCTATAATATCATATTTAATTCAAATTTATCTTATAAATTTAAATTATAAAACTGACATAATATTCTCTCTTATCATGTTAGTTATTATATTTAATCTATCATATAAAATTAAATTTAAAACTAATATAATATAATATAATATATATCACATATACATATTATATTATATATATACGAATATATATATACATATATATTTCAAATATATATATATATATATATATTATCTATATTTAATTTTATATATCATATACATATATCATATATATTTGAGACACACACACACACACACACACATATTTCAAAAATATATACATACATATATATATAAAATTATATTTTAAATTTTATATTTCATATAAATATATATATATATAAATATTTATCAAATAAATATTTAAATATATATATATATATATATATAAAATTCATTCACCCTATATTACATTGAATCTAGACATATTCCAGAGTCAACAAACTTGGACATTATAGCTCGAGTTGGGTCGTTCTTGTGTGTGACCCTGTAGGCTCATATGAAATTGGTAGTGGGCTAATTATGCTATTAGTCCACAAGTTACAAGTAGCCTCTAGCAAGACATTACAACTATCCAATTCACATGGGGATCGATGATTTAATGTAACCTATCATGCAACCATTTCACATCCCTTTTGTCACGCGATATTTCGATCAAGTATGAGATATGGAATTGTCATTCCCCTTTACCTAACCATTACTTTCTCGATATTTGAGTAGACTGACAGTAGCAATGGAAAAAACCTTTTCATTGTAGTATGGCCATACATTTTCTCAATTTTACTCATCGAGGGGCCCAGTAATATCTCTCACTTAATGTGAGGGACAAATTCCATCTTGACCACTCATATTCCTCTACATGAATATCACTAAATTCAATCATAGTCTTTATGATCACTTGATCAAAAGTGACTTTTGACTAGGTCAAAGTTCAGTGGTAATCATGTAGGAATTCATAATGATCTCAGGTCAAAGGGCTTAGTGATATAGTTACATATGAGATAAGCTTATGACTTGTACCATACAGCTTTCTCATAGTGGATTGGTCCAGCACCTTGTACTCTTTCAAATGCCTATGATTTTAATTTATATCTCTATAAATAATCAAAGTCATACCAATTTTGTTTCATCTATGATCTCTCAAATATAACCGACTAAGGACATTTAGGACAATCACTATAGTTTGTCTAGGGATATAGTTATCATATTGAATATGCAATTGTTATGATAACAAAAGAAAAATTCATTAAATAACAATGTGCATAGTATAATGATTGGCCTTAAGACACAATTTCCAACATTTCTTTCATACAAAAGCTCTAATTTGCAAACAAAAAAATTGTATCACCCAACTCTGCTCAGAACATGGGGACTAGTTGAGTGATGAAGTATAGCTTTCGAATATGGTCAAAAATTACATCTAGAATTTATACTCTTTAGGAGACCTAGATTTCACTCCTTATATTACCTCAAGTAAGTTCCCCTAATTTTCCATTGCATCTAGAGCACTTTTAAATAGAACAGTAACCCTTGAGGAGGTTAAACTTTCCCTTTTCAAAATGAAACCACTCAAGTCCCCCGGAGTTGATGGATTACATGCCATGTTCTTTCAGAGCCAATGGGATCATGTAGGCCATGACCTTTTTTCACTTGTGAATGATGTATGGCTTGGAAAAACTTTAGATCCCTTGCTGAATCGTACCCTTATAGCTTTAATTCTAAAGGTTAATCACCCTTAATACCTGCATGAGTTTAGACTCATCAGTCTCTATTTCATGGCTTACAAGGTTGTAATTACAGTCATTGTTAACCTTATCAATGCTGTTTTACCTGAAATTATGGCTCTTTTCCAATCGAGCTTCATTCAACATAGAAGTATTATTGATAATATCATCATGACTTAGGAAGTGACGCAATCAATGAGGAGGAAAGCTAACAAAACTAAGGGGATGGCAATTAAAGTTGATCTTAAAAAAGATTTTGATAAGCTAAGATGGGATTTTATAGAGAATACACTTAAGGATGTGTGCTTCCTTAACTTAATAATTAGAATAATAATGAATTGCATCAGCATGCCTACCATGCAAGTTTTATGGAATGGTAAACTCTATACTAGTTTTAATCCCATGAGAGGTATAAGATAAGGTGACCCTTTATCGCCTTATTTGTTTGCTCTTTGTATGGAATGTTTATCTCAAACTATCTTTGTAGAAGTCGCAAAAGGTTCATGATATACCATCAAGATGGGGCGGTATGGAGCCCTCCTTTTTCACCTCTTTTTTACGGATGATCTAACATTATTCAAAGAGACCTATGATTCACAGGTTAAAATTATTCATAAGATCTTAACATAGTTTTGTGACTCATCTGGGCAAGTTGTCAGTCAAGCAAAAACTCAAATCTTTCTCCAAAAATGTGAATGCCTCCACTAGCTGCAACATCTGCAACAAACTTAGTTTCCAATGCATGGAGTCACTAAGGTGCTACCTTGGTGTTCCTCTCATAAATGGATGGGTCACATCCAAAACTTATAGTTATATCTTGGAGAAGATAAATCATAAGCTTTCAAGTTAGAAATGCCAAACTCTCTCACTTGCAAGCCATATTACACTTGCTAAGTCTGTTATTAGCTCTATCTCGCTTTATATGATGCAGGTACTTTGCTCCCCACTCTTTGTTGCAAGTTAATTGAGAAGGCTATCAGGAAATTTATATGGGGATATTTAGATAAACATCATGGGATTAGCTTGGTTAAATGGTCTGACATGTGTCAAACTTTAGCTAATGGTGGTTGTGATCTATTCAATTTAGAGGTAATAAAGCTTTCATCTCCAAACTTTCCTACAAAATCATTTTTGAATCAAACCATCTCTGGGTTCAGGTTCTAAGAAGCAAGTATAGATGTTTTGATAGATCCCCACAGGATATAAGCAAATGCAATTCCTCATACCTTTAGAGGAATATTGAAAAAATCTAGTAAGATACATTGAATGATGTGAAGTGGAACCCTGAGAATGGCAAATAGGCCAAGTTTTACCACCACCATCTTGTCTTAAAGATGTTGTAGGTAAAGCCATCAATATCAATGATAATGCAGGGCTCTCTTGCTTCTGGAGTCTTAATCCTAAGGGCAACTTTACCATTAAATCAATGAATAAAGCTTCTCATTTTTTACATTGGACAGAGACTGATATTAACTAGAAGAAACTTAGGAAATTACTTGTTACACAGCTTGTGAAGACCTTCATGTGGCTTTTGTTAAAAGGCAAGTTGCTCGCTAATACAAAGAGGTATCATAGGCATATAACCTTAGATCAAACCTGCATTCTCTGTACTGCTCCCATAGAGAACGTTGATCAAGTTTTCAAGCGTTGCAATTTACTTGCTACTATCTGGAAGAATGTTCTGCCAGTTGACATGTGTGCTGATTTTTATGTGACAACTATGCACACTTGGCTCAAAATGCATCTGCATGATGACTCTATAGATATCTATTGGAAGATTGGAATATGTATTATGTGTTGGAAATTATAAGATGCAAGTTACAAATGCATTTTTACAAGGAAATCCTTCACTTCTGACAAAATTCTTTGCCAAGTCAAAGCTTTTGTTGATCATACACTAAGAGCTTTTTCAACTTTTCATATTTTGATGTAATTACTTTTTGCTCTTCTTGATTGTTTCTGTTTGTACTATGTGCGATTGTTTTAATATATACTTCATTCCCATTCAAAAAAAAAACAAAGAAAAAGATAAAATTGTTACTTAACCTTTTTAAAAAATGTATCCTTTTATAAAGTCTCAATTTGGTTAAGTTGGATTCAAGTAAAGGGAGTGGTTGGATGATCAATTATTATAATTATTATTTTTTGATAAAAGATAAAATATTATTCTTCACTTTTTGGTTTTCTTCTAACAAGAAATTATTATAAAATTTTTTTGGTGTTTGTGCATATTTAAGATATACATGTGGCCTGTTGGTCGGCTTAGCAATAATTTGTGGACAACTAGTACACAGTACCTTTTATCCATAATTAATATTCTATCTGTCTTAAATTATGAGATACTTTGAGATAAAATTTCACGCATTAATAAATCTCATTAAATAATTTAGCAATTATATTTTTTTAAAATAAAAATATAAACTTCTAAAAATACCTATTATT